TATCTCTTCTTTTAATATCTATTTACTTTTCAATGTTTTATTCAGTTTAAGAAAATCGTTCCAGCTGTAAGGTAACATTTTGCGTCTTTTGAAGCTTTGACATACCTGAAGACATTTGTTTACTTCTATAGAAAAGTCAATTTTTTTAGTCTTTTAATCTTGGAGCATACAATAGCAAAAACCAAATGGATTCATGGTGTGATGGTCTTGTAGAACTACATAAACATTTTTTGTCATACTAACTCACTATATCCATTAAAAGGCAAGTTCGTTTTTGGTTACGTTTTTTTATATTTTTCTGTCTAGATTTGTTTAAATACATATGTTTTCTTTGTGTAGTGTATACAGTAATATTTGTTACTGTTGAAGTTTTATTTCAAATTCAGTAGGTAAGGAAATTTTTCTTCCAAAGTAGTGGAAGAAATCCTCTTTCTGAGATGATTGTTCTCCAGCTACAACCATGCCTGTTAAATATATGTTTTTGCAGTTCTGTTCGTCACTATTTTTGCTGTTCGTTTGTTAAAACAACTTTATGTGTTTAGGAGTATATGGCCCAAGGTTCACAAGGATTGTTTACACAAGGTGCTTTCAATGATCAGTCTCAAGAGGATGCTTCTCAAAATCACTTTGGTTTGGCAAGTACCAATCTTCAGTCTCAGGTGCATCACACACACACACGCACACACACATATTTGAAATTGTTTTTTGCTTTTTAACATACAAAGTTGAATCCTCTTGCTTGCTTTTCCACAGAATTTGCTCAATCCCATCTATTCACAGCCATTTACACACTACAACAGCCAGCCTTTAAATGTACAAACTTCTCAGCAACAAAATCCACCACAGCAGCCTCAAGGTTCACAGAATCATAAACTACACTACAACGGTTGAATTTCTGACCGGTTTTTAATCTCGGTAGTCAGAATACTGCTTGTCAATACTATCTGCTCCAAGGATGGTTCTAAAGCTTGGGAAGATATCGGGCCCAACTGATGACAGAAGTTTTTGGTGGATGATTATTCTGAAAAAAGAATCAAATATTTACTTTTTGACTAGAAGAATGTTGTCTCGCTTGAAGAAGTTTGACTCGGCTGCATACAGCTTGAGCTGAGAAAAGAGCTAAACCAGTTACGATCTCGGCATTCAGAATGTTGTTTGCTGCTACTGCCTGCTATGAAGTATATAATATATATCAATACAACATCCTTGAATAGTGGATTGTTGCTGCTCATCTCTACCGACATGTAATTAGTCATTCTCTTATGCACATATATTAAGTTGAATGATGACGAATATATGTACTCGGAGTATTAGTGAGTCCAGCAGTACTGTTGTGGTTTGCTAGACCTAATATGTTATAATACGAGTGTTTTGTGGAAGTTGGCAGACTTTGGATGGGAATTGTCGTGGGCTCGTAGGGAGGGAGTCATCAGTTCTTTGCTATGCTCTCACCGAGAGATTTTTTGAGTTGATTTTTGCGCGCAAACGCACATTATTTAAGAACTATTAGTTTGATGCCGACCATTTAAAAAAAAGGCTCTCAGCTAGGTGGTTGACTGTTTTGGCTGTGCCGTATCGACTAGCTCTAGTTTAGTTTTTTTGAGGTACCATGGTCCATAATGAGATTATGATAGGATGTTATCTATTGAAATCACGAATAAGAATATTTATTACTTGGAATAAGAATAATGTCATATCATAAGATTATGATAGGATAGTATCTATAGTAATCAGAAAATAAGATTATATAATGTCTTTACTATTTGGGATTATAATAGAATATTGACTATGGAAAATAAAAGATCTGGCAGAGCCTCCAACCTCAAAACCTTCAAGGAAAGCCCTTTGTCTGAATTTTGAATACAAAGATCTCGTCTAATGATCTCAGTTCTCATAAAAAGCGTCTGGTTTCTAAACGGAAGGAAAATTATGGACCCTACTTATGTAAATTGCTACCTCATGTAATAATCCTATGCTTATCTAGATCTTTAGAGGCTTAGAGTTAATCATCCTATGCTTATCTAGATCTTTAGAGGCTTACAATTAATGCTCCAAAATCCAAAAGATTCCGAAGTGGTGTGTAACATTCCGGACTCCAAAGCATAATTTTTTGCCACACCAAATTCTGAAGTGTTAGAGTCTACCACTTAGGGCATCCGCATTTGTTAATTTTTTTCTCATTCATTCAATAAAAAATATACACTCTCTCTCTTCTACATCGTTTCAACATCACATTTCCACTAATTCTCTCCATTTAAACACACACTCACATCCCTACACATTCATTTAAATACAAATATGAGACCCATTATATGCATTCATTCAATATAAAAAAAAAAGCAGTTGGAAAAAAAATAAAAAATAAAAGATGCTCAAAAGAGCTATTAACACTCTTGAATGATACCCTTGGCCCCACAAATTAATGAATGCATGCATTGGTTTAATGAGAAGCAATCCATTTAAATGGTCCAAATTAATGGATCAGGTGCTCTTAGGCTCAATGCATTCGATAGTTATATTGAGACCTCAATTATATCGCCCCAACGAACGAAGCGAAGTTAGTTTATTCATGTCATCCAAAACTCGAGTTTATTTGTTTGCAATGTAAAAATGAGACCAAAAGCATTATATATGCTCTTAGCATAGAGGGGGATTTTTAGTGTTTGATAATATTTGTATAAATTGTTTTTTTTTTTTGTTGTACTTTTTTCAGAGTATAATAATTCATAATAGTCATATAAATTTGGACATTTATTCATAATTATTATATTTTAAAATTTATAAAACATATCATCAATTAAAATTATAAAATTATTTTAAAATTTAATATTTTATACTGTCCAAAATTTATATATTATATATTAAATTAATTACCTTTTGATAATATTCAATTGAGTGCATATAAAATAACATTTAACAATATCTACATTTGTTAGTACATTTTAAGGATGCCATTATAAAAATAAAAATAAAATGTAATTTTATTTTAATTATTTAACAACGGAGCCTTAAAATTTAGAACAAATATAAATAGAAAGGGATTTATTATGGTGAAGAAGTATAAAACTACAAATGTAACCGTTGATAATTTTACTTTTGTAAAAATAACATACTTATTTTATATGTCATACTTTTACTTATATTTAAAAATTTTGCAATTAAATAGAGAGCATATTCATATTTTAAAAGAATATGATAATCTAATAGTTAAGTAACTCGATGAAAGACATACTCGGTGGATAACTATACTATCCAAGCCATAAAATACGTATTTATTTTATAAAATTTTATATTTTTATTTGTATTATATTTTGAAGTGTAACTTTTGAGTGAAAAAAATGTTTATATATTAAAAATGTTTATATATGTTTATGGATGAGGTAGCCTAATAAAAGACACACCGACCAAAGGGTTATATGAATCTAATCATATTTGATAAATTTATCAAATATTGAATATTAATTTACTAAATACCATTTTACAAATACATGTGAGAAATATATAAAAATTAGGGATATGCAATGGTCTCGTTACTAATTATTTCGTCGAGATTTGTAACCGTTAAATCAAATATTTTCGACGGTTACATTATATATAAGGATTACAAACCTCGACGGAAAACCTAGAAGAAAGGATTCCGAGATGCATTTCCAAAAAAAATTATACAATTCTTAAAATTTCCAATTAGTGTGTGGCCCGTGCTATGCACGGGAAAACAATATTACTGTTGTGTTATAAATTAAATGTACAAATAAAATTAATCAAGATTTACCCATCCTTTTTAAATTAAACCGTATTGGACACAGTCCGACCGGATGGACCGAGAATCATTTTTATTAATCAGTCTAGTTCACTTGAATAAAATATTTGTTATTGAATTCGTCAACACTAGTCGGTTGTGGTTGTATCTATACGATTTTCTAAATAAATTTGGCTATATTTAAAATTATTTTAAATAAAATTACATATTTAAATAAAATAGAAATTTATAAATTGTTTATCAATTTAGTTAAACATTTGAATTTTTAAATTATTCAAATATTTAAGTAACACATTTTCAAATTTATTGTAAAAAGTACTATATATATATATATTAAAAGGTATTTTTAAAGAAAAATTAAATTGTATAATTATATTAAAGTATATTTATAAATTAAATTGTATGATTTTTAAAAAAATAAGAAAAATAATAAAATTACTATTTATGAGCTGCATTAAATGCTGACCTATTTTTTTGCTATTAATTTTAGTAAATATGATGACTCTTTATATAACTATAGATTATGTGGAGTTACTATTTTTAAGCTATAACTAATGATTTTGGTAGGAAATAGTTTCTAAAATTGAATTAAGTTAATCCTTATTATATACTACCTCCTATTCTTTTTAAATGTCATTTTGGCTTTATCAACTATTAACCAAATAAATGTCGTTTTAGATCTTTTGTACATGTTTTTTTCCATTATTACCCCCATTTAGTCAATAAATACATTATGTCTTTCCATATTCCCTCTTCATTTTTTCTCAAAACATTCATCTCTATCTTCATTAAATAGGGTTATTATTGACAACAAAAATATTCTTAATTATTGTGCAACTTCTCAAAACGACAATTATTTTAAATAGGAGGGAGTATTATATATTAAGATGTTCTCAAGAATTTAACACAAAAACCCCAAAACTGAGATTCAAATGATATCGAACATCACGCTAAATTAAATCACACAAATCCAAGCTATTATCCAATGGGGGTGTCTATATGTACACCCCCTAAAAAAGGGGTGTACATATAGCATTGCCCTTTGTGTAATTTATTAAAGGGGGTGTACATATAGCATTGCCCTATCCAATTTCACCCTTTGAATATCTTACGAAATTAATAAAAATCGAGAGGAGTTTACACTATACAGTAGTCGGGGTCACCGGAGTAGTGGTCTATACTTGGATTTGAATTGAATTCCGGCAAAAGGAGCCCCCGCCTTGAAAAAGCTTCAAATTAGATGGCGGCCTCGCCAGCAAAGAGCACCAGCGCCGCCACGGACTCCCTGACGCCCTCGAGCTCCAACGCGTCGAAGGGCCAGCGCGGCCTCAACAAACCCAAGTGCATAAAGTGCGGCAATGTCGCTCGTTCCAGGTACGCCGCCGTCTCCTTTTCCGCCTTCACCGTCCCTCCTGTCATCTCCATTCGTTTAGTTCATCTAGGGCTTTTTTGGTTGTGGTGCTATTCCTCTTAATACATACGTGTGTTGTACCTAATGCTTCCTGAGGTTGTACCTTTGCTGTGTCACCGCAGAGGTTTCAGTTACGCTTGTGAGTCAGTCTGCCAGAAAATTGTGTATGAAAAGATGTCTTACTGCATTTGCCTCATCCACGTTCCAGTCACCTTTGTTTTTTCTTCTGTTCGTTGAGTGGGATGAGTATTGTTATAATTTGTAAAGGAATATGCTAATTAGGATACTTTACCACCGCAGACCTTAAATTGTGACATCCAAAATGGTGGTATGAAATTTGAGACATAGTTTTTTGTCTACCAACTCTTCGATTATTGCCTGCAGTTAAAATTGTTTATAGTTGGGGAAATATTGGTGCTGTACGATCTGCTGCTGTACTGAACAATCAGCAGCTAAATGCATAAAGCTTAATGTTGATGGCAACTCTTGAGTTATATCAGATACAAGAATTGTTTTCAAATTACAACATCGGGTATATACGTACATCACGTGGTCCTTGATCTTGTTTTTCGCACTCAAAACCAAGGGGTTATGTCACCGCAACCTTTATGGAGCACCAAACTTATGAAGACGGGGCAAATATGTTAGTGTGGGAGTCTCAGTACTGAAGTCTTGTTGAAATACTCTTCACTCGATGTGTTGAGATGCCTATGACCAAATTATCGTGGTGGAAATAATTATATGACTATTAATTGACTAGTAGCACTCATAGGACCAAATATGAGAGTATGAGACATACTTATAGTTTCTGAACCAGAAAAAGTAATTTTAAAGCGATTTACTTACTGGGTTGCTAATGTATGGATAAATGCGATGCATTTTAGTTGTGAATTCTGCTTCAAAAGTGTAACCGGGTGCAAACTTGATTCCCAATTTTTTCTTTTTCCTCTTATTGGTTAGCACCTGTACTGTGATTGCTTCTACCTTGTATTGCATGTTCAAGATTTCTTAGATTGATAATTTTTGTAATGCATATTCGAATTTTGTTTATATATTAAAGTAGAAATTCTGTTTGAAACTAGTCATGTTACATTCTCTGGGTATAAAGTTGGAGAACGCATGTCCACCATGTCAACTCTGATATGTATTTCTGGTCATTTGGTTCAATCAATCTTAAGTTGCTGTACAGCAAGATTCCCTTATTGATATGGTTTTTGGGAAAAAAAAAAAAAATGGTAGGTCAAAATACTGGCCTGTCTTCATAACTGGAAACAAGCTATAAAAATTAGGATAAGTAATCTTTTTTGTATATGCATTTTTACTATCATCAAATCTATTGAGCATCACTCAATCACTTAACTGGAACTGTCTTTACGTCTGATCTTTTGCTGGTACATAAGATTTTGAGATTGTGTTATATAATATATAATGGAGAAGCAGATGCTTGTATATTTCAGCTAAAAATCTTGAATCCTTGTCATATGTCCCACTTAATATCCTTGATGTGCCTAACAAATTTGATGTGAGCTGCTGATATATTAAATGTTTCATCTCGTTGACCGATTTTAACTAATGCAGGTGCCCATATCAGTCATGCAAGAACTGCTGTTCAAAAGCTCAAAACCCTTGTCATATACATGGTAATGTAGAATTCATTTTGGGATCTTCATAACATGGACATTAGAACTATTGTCTTACATGTTGGCTGCATGTTGCTTCGTTCTTATCTCAGAATTGTACCTGGTACCAAACTAATGTACAACTTGCGTTTCTGATAATATATGGAGATTGATTATTTCTAGTGTCCACCGGTACATAAGAAAGGTTCATGAGTACAACGGGATAGTAGAACGTGGACCATTATTTGTATTCGATTCAATGGAGAGAAAAAGAAAACAATAAAAGGTTCTAGGTATATTCCCTCTATAAATGAGCTTCTAATTTTAGCTTGCACTTTCTTGATAATTGATGGATCAGAGGATGTGTCGGTGTCAGATTCTGCTTTATTGATATTAGGTTGCCCGGATTAGAAGTGGTTGAAGGAAATGACAACATTTAAGAGTATCCATTGATATTGTACTTGTTAGTGACTTAAAGAATGTGGGCTGACTAGAAATTGTTGATGGTTGGTGAATCGAACAAATGACCACCTTGAAAGAAGCCCATCTTAAATGGTTAGCTTTGGTGATTTGGTACTTACCTCAATGTTGATCAGGTGCAGATTACATGTTACGGTTTCTCAGACACGGTGCCTATAATGGAACCTGCATTTGTGTAATAGACATTTATATAATAGGCATTTGTTAAGCTTTTCAACTTTATATCTAAGCAGCAGAACTTGTCAAATGCATAACAGATGTTGCCTCTTCTCCTACAATAAAGATCAAACGCTTACCAAGTCTAAGTGGCATCCTATATTTGTCTTACTGCAGTTTTGAAAGGCAACTCATCCTTTCCAGACAAGCCACCCTCTTCCAGCTCTCCTCTATTTGACCAGCAGTCACCTGAAGTATCTCATCAAGGGTAAGCTTGTAAAACCAGCTTCCCATGTGTAAATCGTGGTGGGAAAATTTCGCCTCATTGTTTCTAACTCTCATGTTTTGAAACTCTTAAGTTCATCTTTTTTTCTTTTACCGTTTACCATCCATGACAGCTTGAGAAATGCTTCCACGCCTGAATGCTATTGCACATCTAGGATCTAGCAATGAATGGCTATACTCTCCTGCATTGTATCCCTAGCATAGATTTTCTTTTCTGCATTTAGTTTACTGGCAGATAAATTGATATATATCTCCTTTTACAAGTTGCAATAGATATATTATTTATTACTCTTTAATGATAATTACTCCAAATGATATAGACACCAACTTTTTAGGTGCTGGCAATTGTTAATAATGGCAATTCAAGTTTCTGACAGTTTTCTTTAGAATTCTTTAGTTTTTTTTTTTTTTATCCTAAATTACCACACTATAAAGTGGTACAAGTACACAACCATTCAAGTTCTTTTTAATCCTAAATTCTTTAGTTTCAAATATTTTGTTGCATTTTTCTGATATCAGCCATTACCGTACAGGAATGTTAACAGGCTTCGCCAACTTTCCAGCAGCTTTGCGCAGTTCAGCAATTTACAGACACCACTGCGCTCAAGGAAGCCACTGACGAAAAAGGTGGAAATAATATCTTTTACTGCATACATCCCGGCTTAAAAATGTAACCTTTATTCTATAACAACATCTGTACAGGATGCACAAGTCATAAACGAATGGAGGTTCTTGAAATTGAAAGAATTCAAAGACCGAAATGTAGAGGCGGAAACTGAAGCCTTTGACCGCTATACCCAAAACGTTGGTCTACTGGAAGAGGTTTTTCTGGTGAATTCATCAGCTGATGACAATCACATGCAAGACCATCCGCCGTCTGAGGTGAACTCGAGTCGTGATGGACAGAATACTGAGGGAATTGTTCAAGGGCTGAAGATGAGGCTTGGATCAAATCCAGTAAGATCCGAAAACTTGAGGGTGAAGATCCAACACATTGTGGATCAAGGATTGAAGAGTCTGGGAAAGGCTGGGTTAGTTGGTGGCACGAGTGATCTCGATATTGATACAGACGGATGCAGGATAACAGCTGCTAAGAGGATTAAGTCCTTGCAGGGTGAGATGAGTATTGCTTTAACCGATCTTAATGATAAACTGAACAAAGCACGAAATGAGGAAGACATGCAAGCATGCTGGGAGATTGCACACCAGATGTTTAGATGGAATAATAATTCCAAGGTGAGCTCAGTCGAAACTGGTGAGTCCATTTTGGGCGAAAAGGATCGTAAATGTGATACGTCTACACTTGAACAGTCACATAACAAGTGGTTTGCCTCTACAACACTTGACCATGAAGCTCTCTGCCAAATCGATGCACAATTCTCTTCCCTGGAGGAGATTGAAGATTTGTAGTAGGTTTTGATTATTTTTGGAGTTTGATAAAAATAGTTGGGTACAAAAATGTTGCTAGAGCTGGATTTTTAGAGTACCATTAACTGATTAGGGTCCAGTTATTCTATGAACTGACGATGAGTTTATGCCTGAAATATAACCTAAGGCGTTGGACTTGTTCGACAAGCTGAGTGGGGCAAAGTGGTACACAAATATCGATCTAAGGTCATTCAGGTTCATGATTTTCTTCCATGGAAAGGAAATGAAGTTTTTTAGTGGGTTCTGAAAAATTTTCAGATTGACTGACTATTGTTTCAGTCAGCCTGTTTGAAAAATGTGTGTCAATGCATTCATTAAGGTTTAAGCACACAAACTGAGTCAATGCATTCAATCATTTTTTTTTTTTTTTTTTTGGTACAGGGACCTTTCGGTTTCCGGATCCACAGGGAACCGACTAATCCGGAATCGAGCCGGGTAGGACCACAGCATTACCTCAACTCTAATTCACTCACTCTTTATTCCCTCATATAATTTTACTTAACCATCACTCACATCATCACTTCCCTACTTTTATATCAAATCAACTTTAATAATTTTTTTTGAATATTATTTTAATATAAACACAAAATTCCACTAACAACTAACTATAATATATTTTTCAAAATTATTAAAACCAAACCCAAAGATTCAAACAAAACAAAACAAAAAAATCATATCCAAGCATTTATGGTATGACATCAAACGTGTGGTGTTCAAAGACTAGTGTAAATGACAATGGTATAACAAAACAAAACAAAAAAATCATATCCAAGCATTTAGGGTATGACATAAACGTGTGTTGTTCAAAGACTAGTGTAAATGACAAAGGTATGCTTGGTTATAAATTTTTTTGGTTATGTTTTGATTTTTTGGTTTTGTTTGATTAATTTGAAAAAAGGTGACATGATTAATTTTTAGTGGAATTTTGAGTTTATATTAAAATATTATTTAAAATACAATAATTAAAGTATATTTAATGTAAAAGTAGATAATGTGAAGTGATAGTGAATGAATATTGAATTATAGTTGATCGTAATGCGTAAGAATAATTGATTAATATTATTAATTTTTAATAATGCTGATAATAATGAGATTGAGTTAAAATTAAGTTAAATTTAATTTTTTAAATGATTCGTTAAAAAATAATTCAATTTTCTTGAATCTTATATCCAAGCTCATAGGCAATCGTGATTCGTGCAGCTTAACCGCAGTTCGAACTGGATAACCCCCACGATGTGCAAATTTTAAAGTGAACCGCTAGGTAGACGGAACACCAAGGCAATCTCAACCTCAACACCGCCATCTTTTCGATATTTACCGCCCCCTAAAAGACTAATTTGCCCTTTATACATTTTTTTAAAAATAATAGATGTCCCTCTTTAAACCTGTTTACCGGCCAAACCGAGCCTCGAAAAATTCCAAAAACACCTCTGAATAATTCCGGCGAAAAAATGCTTTCCAACAAGACCGATCATGCGGCGGCTGACCGGTCAAACCGGCGGCCGACCGGTCAAAGCGACTATTTTTTTTTATTTTTTTTTTTGGGCCGGCCGGCCTCTAATGCCGGCCGTAGCCGTGTCGGCCTTCTTTTTGCCGGTTGGCCGGCCCATGCACGGCCGGTTTTGCCGGTAGGCCGGCCCATGCACGGCCGGTTTTGCCGGCCGGCCGGCCATTTTTTTTTTT